CTTTATGTAAAATCTCAATTGAATATTCAATAAAGATAGAGGCATGGCCTCACCATTAATATTTAAAAAAAAAAATTTTTTATCATGTAATGCTAATCTTTTGTCATCTATAAGCTTATTTATTCTTTTTTTGAGCTTTGATTTAAGCTTAAGACAGATCTTTTAGCAGAATTCCAACTTATCAAAAGATATTATTTGATAGCTTTCATTCATTATATAAAGGTATTCAGAATCAGTTAACCAACTTCAAGTAGTAGAGTGCAATATTGGAATCTGATGTTTTCAAGAAAACATACTTTTGGATTTAAGAACATTTGTTACTTTAAACATGTTCTTTATAAAAGACTTGCTTGATAAATATGAACTCTACATAATATAGTACTGAATGAAGCTAACAATTAGAAAATGAGTAAAGTCTGAAAAATTCTGGAAAGAACAAAAATTTAAATAAATTACCGATATTATCCGAAAAATTTCAAAAAATAGCAACAGAAATTTTTGTTATTGAGAATATAAAAATATTTTTGAGAACATTAAAATTAATAATTGTGTTCTCATGAGAACATAAATTTCAAACCAGATCTCCAACACCAGTATAAAAAATAAAAAGGCTCATACTATTGGTTTGCTATCCCATAATAGGTCGTGTCAGAAAAAAAGGATATTGGAATTTCGGAAAAGCAAGCAACAACAGGTTCACTGAAGTAACCTGACCATTTATTGTTTGTACTGAAATGCTTGTGAATATACGACCATGAGTTTTTATTATGTATTTACCGATTTGTTCTTAATTGAAACTGGAAATTGTATAGTCTTTGTTCAATTCTTTAACACAATTGCTAAAATCTAGTAAGCTACAATTTAACGATCAGGAATAACCTGTCAAATTCAAATAATTTATATAAATATAATAGAATGTCACAATTTTGATTGAATTATAAGAATTAAAAAGTGGACCTCAAATAGTAATAATAAATATTTATAAAAGGAAGAATAAAGTCAAATAGGTAATAATAAGAATATATTAATTGATCCTTACTTTTTCAAACCAATTAAAGCAGCAGCTTGAGACCATAAAATAGAAATATTTCTAATATTTTTTTCATCATAAAATAATCTAAAATCTGCAGGCCTAAATGCAAATTCCAATATTTCATCTGGATCTATTTTGCTATATACCTCGTCCATAGTAAAAGAGACAGCCATTCCAGTCAAAGGGAAAAGTTTAGGCATTAAAGTATTATTTAATAATCCCAATTTACCAAAGGAATTAAATGTTTGAGTTGAATTAGCAACCATACCACCAGTATATGTAGAATAAGATAATAAACTATTTGATGCAAGTCCACCAATAGCAACGGTAGACACATCATTAACCTCAGCAGCATGTTCAGTAATAAGTGCACATGAAGAACCACATAAACCATCAGTTAAAATAATGTAATCATCAGGTTTCCAAGGAAGTGGATTAACTAAAATTTTTTGAATAATTTGACTCATCTCATTAAACAAAGTGTCATTAATAAATCTATTTGAATAATTCTCTTTAATGCCACCACGTTTATAAACATTATTACCAAAAAAGTCGTCAACACTTGTAAAATTAGCATGGTTTTTTGCATTAACATACCCATTTGTACGGAAAATATTATCTAGGGTTGCAAGTCTATATTGTTCAGCAATTGCAAGCCTCATTTGCTCAGAAAGTCGGATATCATGGTCAAAGGAAGGATAAGTGTTAGGAAATAACAGTAAATTGAAAAAACTGGCGATGGATCGATATCCACCGACATTGTCAGATAAGTCAAGAACAACCTTTAACAAATGAACAAGTAAAAATAAATACAAATGATGAATATAAATGATCAGATTTTCAGTAAATGAATATATACCATACACATATAAAAGGAAATTAAACAAAATTTCATACCTTTTTAACACCTGTATTTGCTAGTTCTTTAAACCCTTGAATTACATCCGGAAGAATAGCTATAGTTTCAAATTCTTTAGCAGGATCTTCGGTAAATATTTTAACAACACCAAAATCATTAATTTTAAAAAAGCTGACAAAATTATCAATATTCTTTATTATGATTACGCTCTGGTCTTGTGGATTTAATATTCTATTAAAGTCATTAAATTCTTTTGCAACTTCTCTAAGCATGGACCTAAAAGGTATAGGCAGTTCATTTCCTTTGGTAGGATTACAAATATTATCAAAATAAGATTTTGAATCATTAAATTTATTTAATAGTGTAGGATTACTAAAAGCATTCCAGCTTCTTTTAACATCAAATTCATTTTTATTATCACATTTGAGTGTGTAAGTGATTTTTGAATTCTTTGGTATTTCAGATCGTAATGCAAAAGATGGAAACCTAGCGATAAGATCAAGTGCTATATTAAATCGTACACCAAGATCTCTTGACGCAAAAACTGAATCTTTGGCAAATTCAGAAATTACTTTTAATGCTTGTTGGCCATCAATATGAGTAACTTCGCAATTTATATTAGATCGGTCAATAGTGTCATCAAAGACTTTAATTTTCTAGGAGAGGAAAAAAAAAAGAGTTAAAGGCATTACCAAGCGAGATTTAGATAAATAAACCATAAACTACCTGTTCTCCATTGTGAACAACAGAATAAAATGTCATATTGGTATAAAAAAAAAATGTCAAGAAGCAATATGAACCAAATTGCGTGTGTTGATCTTTTAAATCATAAAAGAGATGTTCAACATCAATCTATTACATAGTAAAATTATTTAATGTAAAAATTAATAATATAATAAAATATTATATAATAGATGTGAAATATTAAAATTGAAGTAGTTAACTGTAAAATCATATAGAGTTGTATATGATTTTTTTCGAAAAAGTTCTAATTCGGCTTTTAAATCTACTGGTCTAAAGTTAAACCCGAGTTGTGGCGGCTCTTTAGCTTTGTCTAAAAATACATAGAATCCACCAATAAGACCAGTTAGAGTATCGATTGTCTAAAATTTTAGCATTATCATATGACAGATCAGAATACATGTCATATAATTTTATATATATTTCAAACACTATTTATATGCATATGTATATAAATACCTTAGAAGCAACATCTTTATCAAATGGAAAGTGTTTATAACAATCTTTGACATCGTCATAACTAAACTTTGTTTTTTGTTTTGTGATAAATTCATTATGAATTCTTGCGCATCCATCCGAGACAGGATCCTCTTGTGGAATTATATGAGATTGGGTATTTACAGAAAAAGTGAATAAGAATGCAAAAATTACTGCGTAGAAATACATATCTAATAATTAATTACTAGAATCGCGTTAAAAAGGCATATATAGCTTAATGAAAATCAGAATATTTTACTGAAATTTGGGGTTAGTGTGTAGTTTGAGATCAAGATAAAGTAATCCACAGGGAAAACCTGTAAGTAAATTTTATTCGTTGAAATATTGTACGATTGTGGCCAATCAAATTTCAGAATTGAACAATATTATTTTAACGAAAAATTTTACAAGTTTTCCACTCATATAATATAAGCCTGAATTTTAGGGTGCACGAAGTCTTCAAATATGGATTATTGCCCAGAAAAACCATGCTTAGAGTATATATTTTTATTTATGGTTTTGCTGTGCAACAACTCATATAGCAATACTGGTGATCACTAGTGATGATAAAATATAATTTCAAAATATTCTATTTTTGTTATTCTCTTTATGCCCAGATACATGGCTTTTCACAACAAGAGAAATTTCATACTGTAAATTAAAAATTCTTGCTGGCATATCTTATTTTATTTATTAATTATTCATGCAAACCACACTCTTTATTTGTGTCATGTCTATAGTTGCTAGTAGAATTACTGAATTTACAGCATTACAGTATTTTACATGTGGTATAATTAATTACGGCATAGCATTCATGGGGATTAATTAATAATTTCTATTTAATTTTATATTATTTATATTGTTTAAAGTACATTTACAAAAAAAATAAAACTAAAATAACGGAACCTTCGATGGTTACACAAATCCTTCACCCAGTGTGCAACATATAAAAGAATAATTTTACAATACCTCCACACCATTTTTTTATAATAAAATGGCGTGGGATTATAATCATAACATGTACTATCGGAATGATCTGGCAATTTTTTATGTTGCACACCGGATGAAAGATCAGTTGCGAAACATCGACGGTTCCTCCTGTTAGATAATAGAGGTTTTAGAGTTAATCAAAAATCCTTTTTGTTCAGAGAAGTTAATCGTGCTAACATCTTTAATATGAAAGGATTTTTTGATTATTTTTGATAGTGGAGTTCTATAACTCTAATAAAGCTTTCAGTATACTTTTTTCTTTGGTTTTATTTAAATTGCCGTAAATATTGTATGCCATAGTGACATAATGCGTAATGCTCGTAATCTGTGACAGGTTAAGCCACTAACTTCAATCACCGCCCGACTATGCCTCCTAGAGCTTATCTAAAACATAATGAAAAAGCTATTGTATTTAGTAATTTTTGTATTTAGTAATTTGAAAAGGCTTATTGTATTTACGTTTAGTAATTTTTGTATTTAGTAATTCGAAAAGGCTTATTATTACAAAGTTAAAGTTAAATAGATAAAAAATGATTTGATCGTATTTGGTTATTCTTTATTTTTTTGTAATTTTTAATAAATTTTTTTTTTTTATCTAACATAAGTGTGCAAATTAAAGGTTTAAATTACTTTATCGACTTCTAAGATTTAAAAGAGAACCAATTTTTTGACAAAGTTTATATAAAAAATTTATTAGTATGAAAGCTTTAAATGCCTCGCAGGTTATATAAATTTGGATATATTCAAAGATCAGTATTATGTAACAAAAATGAAATCTCCCGAATATTTTTATTTATGGTATTAGTCGCGACTGTTCAATCAGAAGTGCTGAGAAATATGAGCTCACTAATAAATGATATGGTGAAAAGAATAATTCAGCACTTTGAGTTATCTTCATTCGAAAAAAAGATAGAATTAAGTAAAAAAAATCATTTGAGAATGTGTTGAAAAATTAGCACGGTTAATAAACCATATACTGTTTGCTTTGCTTAATTATAATATATTAGAGGAATATTTACTGTATGTAGTATTCGTTATTTTAATTTTAAAAATTAGACCTCTCTAAATGCATATTCTTTAAATGCATAGTCTATAAAAGACCTTTCTAAATGCATGACCTTGTTTGTTCCATCTCATATGACATTTATAGATTTTTACCTCCCTAAATGCAAGGTTTTTTGGCCGCCTCATGGCTATGCATTTAGAGAGATCTGACTGTATTTGTTTAATTAATATCAAAAAAGGCAACTTTTGAATTTATAAGTTTTTAAATTTAATAGTTTATGGCAGTCAAGTCTTACGTTGAGAATATAGTCAGACGGTGATTGAAATTAGTGGCTTAACCTGTCATAAATATTCAAACTTATTCTTATACCATCCATTTTACTATAGTTTGTTTATTGTTGTCGTTATTGTATAATTTAACATTAAGACAGTATCCGAATTTTTGTATCATGATAATGATAAATATCTCCACTGTTAATTTGTTGCAACGCCACCTTAAGTTTTTTTTTTTTTTAACTTTAGTGATACAAACATTTTGTGGCAGTGCTACCTCAATTGATAGGGCGCTGACATTTAGTTTAATCACAAACATAGTCGAAGTTATATAGTGAAGATCAATAATATGTATTTTTTGCCCTTAATAGTAATAATATATAAAATTCAAATGTTAATAACTTCTAGACTACTAAATTTATGCATGTAAAATTATATTTATCGAATTCTTCTTCATGTGCTCTTAAAGTAATAGAGTCATTTTTCATTTTTTATATAAGTTATACAAAAATCGATTATTAAACTTTAATTTATTCTAAGAAAATAACAATAAGAGCTCTATTATCTTAGAGAATACATTAAAAGGATTCAATAAGTATGATTTTACATGCAGAAGTTTAGTAGTTTAGAAGTATTAACATTAAATTATATATTTTTATTATTAAAAAGAATGGCAAAAAATCCTTATTATTGACCTTCATTATATGGCTTCGATTACGGCTGAAATTAACATCTGTTTGGAGTTACACTAAGATTATTCCTTGAAATTAGATCCTTTTTGACTGCGTTAATTAGTAATTTTAGGCAGTTTCAACTTTATGCACTTGAAGTTTCAACTTCAGGCGATTGAAGTCACAACTTCAAGCAGATGCTTGTCGTGCTTGAAGTTGTAACTGCCTAAAATAACTAACTCAACTCAGACTAAGTAGATCTAATTTATTTTAGTTAGTGTGCCTAAATTAGATGTTAGCTTCAAGCATGACGAGATTACCGATATTACACATCGATTTATTTTAAAATATAAAAATCTTTTATGTGCAAAAAAATAATGCAAACTATTTAACAGATCCAAATCATTTGATTTGTTTGATAAGCCTTGAATTGTACTTTATAGTAGTTTCGAATGTTATCAAAAGTTTAACTAAACACTGCACATTACATATAGAGGATAACCTACATTGGCTTGAATGTCAGGCAAATTCCATAACCCTCAATCAACTACTTCAACAAACAATACACAAGTTCTGTACAAAACACAAAATAAGAAACAGCAATATACCTGTTCTATTGCAACAATTTACTTCAACACAAATTACTACTCAACATTTTCTTCAAATACAAGGTTTAATTCCAGACAATATATCCACAAACTGCAACATTACTTCAAGCCTACTTGTTAATCTATTCCACAAAATATCAAGTAATATATATAAACAAATTTGAACAGAAAGATGCAAAGCAGTGCATCAAAATAACTTACTAACAAACATACTTACAATAACAGTATCTGAACATCCAGTTACAGACTAAGCAGTTAAAACAAAATATAAAAAATGGACAAATATTTTTTCTACTACAAACATATCTACTTCTTATATAGTAACATTAAACCTAGAAGAGGTCTGATAGCCTACTCTAGTAGAGTTTTGGATTGAGGATAAATTAGTCCTAGCTATAGGTCTTTGTAATAATTTATATAAAACAGTTTAATTAATGTAATACCAAATTGTTCAATAAAGACCGAGGTCAGGCCTTACTCTATAATAAAAAAAAAAAAAAAAAAAGTTAAATTAAAGAACAAGTTAAGCTGCATTTGTAAAAAATATTTTAAAATCAATATTATAAAATAACCATACATATTCATATGTACGTTGTGACAGTAAAAAATGGTTCCAGGTCAAAATATATTAAATTTGGGTCATATTAACTACAAACTAACACTACTAAATACTACACTAAGTCCAACCTTAATGGTGAAGGGTTATGATCAAGGCATCAAAAGATTTGGTCTGAGTAACTAGGATCAATTAGAACTTTAACAATGTTAAAGATCTTCTAATACAAAGTCACAGAATTTATTTACTAATTCTCATCATTAATACAGATTTTTCTTATTAGGAGAATTAGTAAAACGAAAGATATTGAATTCAAGAAGAGTTATGTATTATTCTTTATTCGCAACAAATCTTTTTATTTAAATACATTTTACATTGTACTAATTTGCTATAAACTCTTTACATTTATGTTCATATCTGTCAGCATTGTCAGTTCTGCCAGTTTTGTTAGTTCTGTCATTTCTGAAATTTTTGGCAGTTCACAGTAATGACAGTTTTGTCAGGTTTTAACCAGATTTAATTAAATCGCTTGAGCTATTTTAGACGAATCTTCCCTCTCACAATCTATATTTAATGATAAAAAAAATATATAAAAAAATACTAGTCATTTATAAATTCTTTGGCCAAATCGATTTACTAAATCTTAGAAGAATAATCCAAATTTACAGATGTGATTGATATGTATGTTATTGCCTGTGAAGTGGGTGATAACTAATTTATTCTCCAGTTCTATTTATGCTTCCATACTAATTTTTAATTAAATATAAATGTATTTTGTAATATTTAGTTTTTTGATCACAAGGTTTCTTTTCTATTTGTTTTTTTCTTTTACTCAGCATGCTCGGCAACTTTTAATAATATATTAAAAAAAGTCGATAAGATATAAAAAACAAAAAAGAAAGATATTGTGATACTGGAATATCATGACCAATCATATGAAAAATGCATAAAATGCAATAAGGGCAATAAGTGCAATAAGTTACATTTATGATCAGAAAAGGTGTAAATAGGTTTAATTAGTTTTAATAGATAATAAGTATAAAGTTGCATTTGTGAGTAACAAATTTGGTATTATAAATAAAGGTTGAAATGATCCTTAGGAGCAGTATGCTTTATTTGCTTTATTAAAAATACAAGTTCCAATACATTATATTATTTATAATAAAATACCAATACTATACCTAGTATAAATTCTGTAAATTCCTATAAACTTCATTACTTGTTCAAGTTCTTGTTTATATGACTTATCCTACTTGTATTCATTGATACAAATAACCAAAAACCTTAATCACCCACTAGTCAAATCTAATATTCTCTTTTGAAAAGATTACCTATTGTACATTATACAAGATATTGAATTGTAGAGTAATAGAATTACAATCTTTCTTACCCAACATTTTGGTAATAATTGTGAGATTTAAAAACAATGTTTATTATCTCCTCTTTCTCCAAATTCGAAAAATTTGAATAAGCAGAAAAGAAGTATAGATAACTAAGAAATATACTTGAATTAAGTAAAAGTATAGTACTAGAACATTCTAAAAAGAATCCTTGTACCATTTAGTTCTGCCATCATAAACACAATTCAGCTCAGAGAATTAATAGAAAATATAATCAAATCTTTTGAAGATGCAGTTAAAAATATTATGAAAAAAAATAGATCTGAATTGAGAGAAATAAACCACATAACTTCAGTGTAGTAACAATAAAGACCTAATTAAATAATTCAATGATTTGAATATATTGCTGAAATAAATAATTGGACAGATAACAGAAGCTAAAGATAGCTTTTGGATACCTTAAGAGATTGGCAATAGAATGATACAAAGATAATAAAACCAATATAGATAAATGAAAGAGTGAAAATAATCAAGTTAGGAGCCTTTATTATTTATTGATCATTTTCTTTGTTATTTAAGAAAAGTAGCACAAGTGACATATTCAGTTGAATAGTCTCATCTAGCTTAAAACTAAAAAAATAGATGTTTATGCTATCAAGTTTAAGAAACATCTAAGTTATGTAAACCCAACTAACTCTTTACCTATTTAATACATTATAAGAATATTTCTAATCAGATTAAAAGAAAAAATATCACTCTTTGTAGTAGTAACAATTTCAATGAAGCAATTATAATGATAAGAAAAGTCAAAGTTAGCAAATATTATGATGCTTACCTACATAAAACTCCAGTAACCTATGACAAGAAAGATGAGCTTATAAAGGTACTAGTCAAGCAGATGCAACAACTATCAGTTAATTACATTGCAGCAACTAATTAATAAGAGCAGAATTTATATAAAAAAGAAAGATATAAAGAAACTCCCAAGTCCAGAAAAGATATTGTCTATTACCAATGCAACAATAAAGAATATATTATCTGATATTATATGTTAAAAAAGAAGTATATAGAATCTAAGAAGGAAAGATGACCAACTGATAATATTAGAGAAGTGAATTACTGTAACTATGAATATGATAATAATAAGATGTACATAATGAATAAAAGAAAGCAGCAACTACAGCTTAATATTGCTGAAAAATAACCTAAGCTGCAATCTGAAATAAAATAAGATAATATACTTCAATACTAAATAGAACCCAAACTATTGTTAATAGATATAGAAGACCAACTAGAACCTATAAAGTTAAATAAGATGTAGCTGCTCAAGAAATTAAGAAGAAAGTGGAAACTGTCCATTATAGATAGTCTTGTGCTCTACAATATTGTAAAAGATTTAATGAATACAAAAGCAAATGCAATCTATGATTAACTGTTTCAAATTCCGAACTAAAGAAGATGCTTAATCCAAGTACTATGTTAACTTCTTGTAGCCTTAGAATCTAAGAAAATTTAAGTACTTCAAGAAGTTTAAAACCTCAGATAATGAACTTTAGTGATATCTATAGAATGATAACTATCTATTGTTATATTAAAATTAGAAACAACTTCATTCAAGTCATATTAGATTTAGATGCTGCAGTAAGTATTATAATGTGAAAGCTTATAGAAAAATTAAAGTTGAAAATAGATAAACCATTATCCATAGTAATAATCACAGCAATTAGTATAAAAATATAAATACTAAAACAAATTAAGAATATAAAGATGACCATTCAAAATAATCTATTGCCTAGCACCTTTCAAGTTATTAAATCTACTAATGAAACTTTACTGTTTGGCAATGTTTAGTTTTAAAGAACCCAAGCATAAATTCATTTTAATGAACAATAGCTGTTTCTTAAGTACAATAGTAGACAAATTAAAGTACCTATCTTTAATAATAAAATGAAGAAGTTTGAAGTTTCAAAAGAATAAGACCAGACTGGTAGTAATAGCAGAGATGAATTTAGCAAATACAAGTATAAGAATAAAGAACTAATAGAGGCAGAAGGGTACTATATAGTGTTGTCGGGCGAAACAGTAAGTCAGTCACGTCACAATCCAAATTCTTGCATAACCTACAGCTGCTAAGTTAAAATAGGCATGTTAGATTTGGTCAGTGGTTTAAGTTCGTAGGTAAGTATTCTTCTTTGACTTGTCTTTGGTTTTCCTAATCTTGAGCTGTTACTAACTTAATCCTCAATTACCTCACTACTTTGGGTAATTGGACACAACGTATAACCTCACTATCCTCAGTCCTTCGGGATAATGGAATGATACAACCACGGCTGATTCTGGTACTTTAGGATACAACAGCTGGATGAGAACATAATGATACTACAGGAGGGAATGATAATTACAAGAATCAGACTTTTATAGTGTGGTTCGGAATTTGTCGATTCTGTCTCTAAACTAATCCAACTCTCTGGCTGGTGGTTTATCTGCAGGTAAGTGCTTGTCATCTCTTATCTAAGTCTTTCCTTCAATCGATTCTTCTATTAACCTTTTCCTTCTCTTGTCTTCTCATGTCTTCTCTTGTATGCCTCAACCCAGGATTACACTTCGTTGAATCGGGGTTGGAACTTCTTCTATTACGGTGACAGCTTGATCACATGATTGTGGCAGACGATCAACAGCGATTTAATAGTGTATGGACGAATGGTTATGTTAGGAGTAGGGTTAGCGATAGTTTATTAGTTCATGTAGAGTAATATGTTTATTAGGGGTCAGGTACTTAGTTGTATGCAAGTGGTATTTTTATTACAGTTATAAGTAACAATTTTGTTATTAGCAATGTGGGAAGTGGAGGGAATTATTCTTTCCCAAGGCAAAAATACCCTTTATTTATAATAAACGTTTTGTTTACATTTACAATTAATTTCTTTCATAAACGCAATATATTTCTTATATGCTATATCCTACTTAAATCAAATAAAAAGCATATTCTTCATTTAACGCGTATACGGGCGAAGTAGCAGAAGCGACGTAAGTAACATAAGTGACATTTCCGTCACTTTTGTGTGACCTCGGATCAGGTCAGGATCATCGCTTCGATACGGTCACTGTCCCTGTGACCAGTAACCCAAAAATCAGGTTCACAATAGAAAAAACCATTGAAGAACTTGATGATTTATTCTATAACCTGTAGAAAAAATTGACAAGCCTGACCTTGTATTTGATGAATATAGAAGAGATGTTGACAAAAGATAATGACAAAACTAAAATTATAATAAAAAGTCTATTGAACAGTTTCTTTAGAATAATAATCTTGATAAAGAAAACAAGAAAAAGGCAACATTGTTCTTTAAACAAAAGAAGATATTATTTACAAGTGATATGTAAAAACTTGAAAAATAAAAATAATAACTTATTGGATTAAAACTGATGATGCTAGGTCAATAAAGCAGAAAGCATATAGGTTACATTTAGCAAACATAAATTTATTAAAAAGAAATTAAAGAAAATGAAAGAAAGAAGACTAATTAAAAAATTAAGCAGTCCATAGACTTTGCCTATAGTTGTAGTTCCAAAGAAAGCAAGAAGCTACAACTATATATGGATTATAAAAAATTAAATAAAGTAATAAGAAAGAACTTTTACCTACTATCCTGTATAGATAATTTGTTGAAAACTTTTAGCAACATGAAATAGTTTTCTATTTTAGACTTGAAGAGTAGATATTGGCAAGTAAAGATCAAAGAGAAAGACAAAGAAAAAATAGCATTTGTAATATAAGAGAGACTCTACAAGTTCAATGTTATGCTGTTTAAGTTATCAAACATATTCACTACTTTCCAACAGTTAATAGATTATATATTAGAGAAGTATATTAAAAAATTCATAACTATTTACTTCAATAATATTAATATCTATAAAGCTTTGATGAACATTTGGTATACTTAAAGAAGGTATTTGATAAGTTAGCTGAGGCAGGATTAAAAATTAATATTAAAAATATAAATTCTTTAAACCAATTATTTATTTTTTTAAACATGTTATTAGATAGCAAGAGATACAACCTGATAAGAATAAAATAGAAAAAGTTAAAAATTATTTTATATCCAATATCCTGTGTTAGTTAAGAGAATTTATTGGTCTGCATCATACTATAAAAATTTATTCTGAAATTTACAGCTATAGCAAGGCCTTTACATTATCTATTGCAAAAGAATATTAAATTTAAATATAAACTAAAACAGCAAAATGCATTCAAAATATTAAAATGTATCTAATTATGACATCTGTTCTTAAGTAACCTAACTTTGATGATGACTTTTTCTTGTGTATTAATGCATTCAGAACTAATTAAAAGCCATTTTAGTACAAATAGGTGTTAATAGAAAGAAGTACATAATCTTGTATGTCAGTTATAGTTTATTCAAAGCTAAAAGAAACTATTTAGTATATGAATTAAAATGTCTGATAGTTATTTGAATAATAGAATACTAGACTACTATTTTGGCTTTAAGCTATTTGTTATTATAACTAACTACTTAGCACTTAAGTGGCTGCATAGTATAAAGTTAAAAGGTAAAAGGGCCTATAAAATACTTCATTTATAGTTGTATAATTATATAATTTAGCATAAGTCAGGATGTACCTATTAGAATGCAGATGCATTCTCCTAAATAAATATAAAAATAAGTGATGTCATGAAAATATATATGGTAATAGAAAAAAGTGATAAAGAAAAATTAGTAATAGAAAACATTAAAGAACAAGCAAGTGAAATGCAATCCAACTTATCTAAGTTTGAAGAAGTATTTAATCTAAGAACTCAACTGACCTTTCTACTATTCTTTATTAAGTTGAAGACTAAATATAGAAGTAACTTTGAATATACAGATTCAAGTAAATCATATAACAACATATATAAAATGTATTATTATTCAATTTGTTTTAAACATCTTGCATTGAAAATCTTAGATTGAATGAAGACTATCTACATGATAGAATTTTACAGATTTTATCTAATAGTGTCAAAATCTAGACAGTTATTAGTATTAATGGATTGGATAATTACAGAAGTGAATCAAGAATTGATTTAAAGAAAATATTTACATAATACTAATATTGAATTAGGATATACCAAATCATTGAACTTGTATGAAATCAAGAAGAAAAAAAATGCCAATAGGAGAAGTAACTAAAAGGTGGTTAATATTAAACCATATTGGCAAGGAATGCATCAAATTACACATTATATTCTTGCTGAATATAGTTAATTAAAAAAATAACATTGCAATTTTGCAAAAAATTGCTAATGTAAATTATTAATAATTGAGAAACAGTGACCACATTTGAAAAATAAATCATCTAATTTTAGTAATTTTCTAATTAACTGATATTAAATTGTAAAATAATGCATAATAAAATGATTAAAAAAAAAATAAGAAGATATTAAATCTGATGATAAATTCAATTTAGTCTAGATAGTTGGTGTCCTGGTATTATAAATTCAAAATGAAGGTAGTAGATTATGAACAATTAAAACAATACTTGCAAGAAAAATATATTAACAGCAATTTAGATAAGAAACAAAAAAAGATAGTTAGTTAATTACAGTAAATTAGTTTTAATAAGAATTGTTTATTATACAAAAAAAACAAGAAAACTCAAGACCAATCTTTAAAAATGATACAAAAACACAAAATTGGCCTCATCCTTTTGTTAATGCATGATTATTCTTTTGAGAAGCATTTCAAGACTAAAATAATATTCAAAAAAATTATAGGATTTACTATTAGTTACAAGCATTTAAATATATTAGAAAATATGTCTAATTGTGCAAAAATTGTCAGAAAAGAAGAAAAAACAAATATAGAGAACCTTTGTAACTGATACCTATGATTGTATTATTTTATAAAGTAGGAATTGACATAATAGATCTACTCCTAATTACTTCACAAAATTTATGATATATAGTATAGCAACTGATTATATAATAAAATGATCAGAAGCTAGAGTAATTTTAACTGCTGATGCTCAAAATGTAGTGGATTTCATCTTTAAGGATATCATATATCAACATGAATGTTTTCTAAGCCATTATTAAATTGTAGCATCCACTTTAGAAATTAACTTGTCGATAGGTTGCTAGAAAGTTTAAAATTAAGCTTCTACTATTAATATTGTATCACTTACAAACTAATGGATTAGTAAAATAATATAATAAGACTTTGTATGAATCCATTACAAGGTTAATAAATAATGTCAGTAACTGTGTTCTTGTTGTACCTGCAATATTATTTGCATACCATAACTCTAAACACATAATTACCAAAATTATGCTATTTTACTTAATGCATAGAAGAGAAATCTGCCTACTAATCAAATATGACAATTTGTTAAAAAGAAAAATAATACAAAGTACATTCTAGTTATTAAAAAACTTACCAATAATATACTATAAGCCTGCATTGGAAGTTCAACAGACTCAAAGAAAATAAAAAGAATAGTATAACCAAAATGCTTATTTTCTGTTTGAATTGTCTATAGGCAATAAAGTTCTGTTATACTATGTTTTAAAAAAGTATAATAGAAGCATGAAGTTAGAGCTAAAATGTGATAGACTGTTTTATGTCCATCAGATACTAAACAGAAATCTGTATAAATTGCATATTATAAAAAGAAAAATTCTTATAACACTGTTTAACATTATATTGCTAAAAGAGTATTATGAATAGTTCAACTAGAAAATGAAAATTAAAAAATGTATATAAAAAAAAATACTATAAAAAAAAATTTTTAAAAAAAAATTTTCAAAAATAACAAAAGTTATAAAAAAGATAATTAATTTAAGTAAAAGAATAAAAAAAAAAATAAAAAGGAATGCTAAGTGTGAGCAAAAAGAAAAATAAAAAGAATTTTTTAAGATCTGTAAAAAAATTAGTTAAATACAAAAATAATCAGAAATCTAATCATATTAGATGAGATTTTAGATGATATTACTAATTCATTCTCTATCAATATCAACTAGTACCTCTGCCTATTATGATAATATATAAAATTTTGGAAGTATAATCCTGACAATGAATCATCTTTGGAAAAGTTTAAGGCTAAAACAGCATATAATTTCATTAGTATACAGCTATTATTTAAAAATATTATATACTAATGACACTTGGCAGCAGCAGAGCCAATTTTGAGATATAGTAAAAAGGCACTACTATATCTTTGCTATTAGTATCTACTATATATTTTTGAAATATAACTTCAAACAGAGCTATTAAACAACTAAGTTGGAATTCAGAAATCTGTAAAAATTAAGATTGCACAAACTTCAATAGCTCACAGAAGAAGGTTAAACATAGTATGTATAAGCAGAAGAAAAATGTAATATCAGAATATTGTAACTAATTATATAAAAAATTACAAAATGCAATAAGTGCAATAAGTTATATTTATGATCAAAAAAGATATTTCAAATTCAAAAAGGTAGATAAGAAATAAAGAGAGAATGTAAAGACAAATTATACGTCTTTAAAGATATCAGATAAATCACTGTAAATAGTTTAATTAGTTTTAATAGATAATAAGTATAAAGTTGTATTTGTAAATAATAAATTCAATATTATAAATAAAGGTTAAAATGGCTCTTAAAAGCAGTATGCTTTATTTGCTTTATTAAAAATACAAGTTCCAATATATTATATTATTTATAATAAAATACTATCAATATATCTAATATAAACCCTATAAACCTCTATAAACTTTATTATTCATTCGAGTTCTTATTTATATGATTACCTACTTGTATTCATTGATCTAAAGTAACCAAAAACCTTAATCATCTACTAACCAAATCTAATATTCTCTTTCAAAAAGGTTACCTATTATACATTATGTGAGATATTAATTATGAAGTGACAGAGTCACAATCTTCTTTATCTAACAATATATGCATAATTAAAATAAAATATAGGTTATATTATCACTTCTGATACATCATATTTTATAAAATAATTAAAAAGTTTATTAATAATATTAAATATAATGACTGTTATTTTAATCTATGTTTTTAGAATTATATATACTATAATATTAAGGTTTAAAATAAATTTATTATATTTTAATTAAATATTTTTTCTTATCAATTTACAAATTTATAAAGGTGTGGCAACCTAGTGAAGTAGTCATGTTGTCAACCCTCAAGTGGTAGGTTAGGTGTTCAAATCCCATTGACAACAAAAATTTGAATAATTACTTATGTAATATTCGTATTATAGCAACTGTTACTATTGATTAGGTTAGGATACCTGTAATGGCAATCACACCAGCATGACTGGCAGGTCATGGGGCATCTGTGCAATATTGGAGTTATATAGAGAAATGCAAACCAACAAATCAGGTGATGCAAACACTAGATAAGTCCTTATGGCCATATAAATCCATTGTAATTAAGTAATAAGAAGTCCATTTGAGAAGACCAAGTAGAGAAGTAGCTGGATCTTTGACAACCTTACTGTAAAGGCTATCCTGGTGAAATAGATACTAAGGTTTAGTACCTGGTTATAGTAGCTAAACAGGCAAGTACCTCTGAGTTAGAAATCTTGGAAGTATCACCAACTAGGCTATTGGAATGAACCAGAAGAAAAGTATATTAGGCTAACCTGATATACTGATAGACTGGTCATAGTTCTACATAGGCTAACTGGATTGTGAGTTTGATAAAAAGACAAAGGAAAAGGCAGAGATATATTAAAGTACCAGGGTTATACTATAAAGTAGATGCTGGAATCTAAATGAACTTTACAAGGGTGTAGTGGTTTAATGGTTAGCACTGGTTCTGCCATAATGATATCTAGATCAGTTGTAAAAATAAGTACAGAAGTGTAAAGGTTTTTGTTATTCGAAATACTTTGTATATAATTTTGCCAATAAAAATACTTAAAATTTTATTAAAGAAAT